TATTGGAGAAATCCAGATATTAATCACAAGGGGCAGCCATTGGAATTATTTTGTCCCAAGACTTGCATCTCATTAACTTCTATTGATTTTTTGATGGTTAAAACAGCTTACTATGCTGCTCGATGATGCAAACTGATATGTTATTATTATATTATACTACTTTTTTTGAATAGCCAAGAACATGCAGGTTCAGGCACGTGCACACATAGGGCTCAACCTGTGCAGTGCACATGCCCTTTTTAGTCTTGGATAGAAAGTGCCCCCGCGACGCGGCACACCCTCGGTCCCACCCTTCAGTAGGCGTGCGACAACACCGCTCTTGAGTACGTGCGCGACAACACAGCTGATCAGTACGCACGCGATAACACCGCTCTTCAGTACGCGCGCAACAATTAACCCCCCCCCCCCTCCTCCTCTTAAAAAAAATTATCCTGCACATGCCCTTTGGACGGTCTCTGCACGGGCCTGTGCAGGTTTGTGGAGCAAGTAGATTGACAGTTTCTGACATTTAGTATTCCTAGTCATTTGTCCTATAGGCAACTGAATCAGAAGTGCTACAACATTCCCACTCAGACTGCATTGCAGAATAAGATCAATACAATATTTTAGTAAATAATAATGTTAATATTGTGTTATATTTGTTGACACAATATTGCTTGCCATTTTTTCCCTAAGGGGAATATTAAGCAAAATATGAACAACTATTATTAATTTCTGAATAAATTCACCTTAATTTTGCATAATTTGAAGTGAACTAATGAATCAGTTGAAAAAGCATATTACCATATCAATAAAAATGAATACTTCATCAATGAATACAATTCAGTTTTGTGTAGTTTGTGTTGAATCAAATGATTACTTGATCTTCTTTGTTTGTAAGTTATCAGCTAAAATGAAGTTTATTTGATTCAACATGTATAATGACTTACTGCTCTAATGCATTGAATTTTTACTATAAACCATATGCTTCACACAGCAGAGTAGGCTTGATAAACCACCTGTAGAAACACTCTTCACCCCCCCCCCCCCACCCCCCACCCCCCACCCCCCCTTACTCAAGCATTTAATTATCTGAGCAGTAAGAGTTCTGCTGTAAAATTAGCACTTCCTGTGTGTACTGCTGCTTCGTGTTAATTTGCAGAATGAAGCATCTGCCAAATGACTTGTAAATGTAAACCACAGTCAACTTGTCTATAGTAGCCTACAGTAAGTTCTACCAATGCCTTTATTCAAGTTATACATTTCTATATTTATTTGTATTTGTTTTCCATTAAAGGTTTCTACCATTTCTGGAATTGATTTGCAGCCTATGCTTTTCTTCAGCACTTGCCCTTCAAACTCAAGTTGAAGGAATGTATATCTCCCAGCATGTCCACAGTGGTCTTTAAAGTATCAAAGTAAAGCTCAACATTCAGATATTTTTACCGCCATTTTCCATCATTGAGCATGTCATGAATGGATCAAGCAAATAATAAGTGGTGCATATGGTGCATTATATAGATCATTTTGAGGGACGTAAACAATAACAATGGTCCCAACGTATTTTAAATTTCTATAGCTTCTGGGAATCCAAAAAGAGCCACACATTGATAAATAATGTTATGATAGCTGTTTTAGCATTAAGTTATGATTGAATTGCCTCATGTTACAGTTATGAAATAATTTGATATCAAGCAGGAAATGATCATGGGCCAATGACATGACCACATTGAAATGGTCTATAGTGCATATGTGTGTGTGTGGTTACTAAATTTGCTCTGATGCAAAAAATTGAAACTCCTATAAGAATTATTCCAATCATCATCTTTGTCAATCATCATTATTCATCAAAAATTCTTAAGAAGTGGTGCAGCAATAACACACTTCCCCTTAAAGAAACACATATATCATCAGACTTTCAGGCAAGCATAATTCTGGCCGAACAATAACGAAATATCAAAGCTTGTTAGTGGCATTTCCCACATGCTGCAGGCCGATTCAGTCTAAATTTTAACATAATTCAAGGTGAAATGTTGCTGCACATTTTATGATTCACTCGCGCTGTGAAACACAAAGGCATCCAACATCTCACCAAAAACCATCTCCAAAAATCTGTCAAATGCCTTCAACAACAGAATATCAAGCCAAATACGCCTTTTGTGTCTTTATCGTGAGAGGCAGCGCAGGAGTCGACAGATTCACATATGCCAGTGTTCATTAAATCAAAAAGCAGGTATTAGGAGCGAGCGTGAGTTAGTGTGCTGGCTTAAAGGATAAAGGCATACATTTACTGAGTGTTTTGGAGTATTTGGATTTGATTTTCTTCGGGGATAACATTATCCTTGTCAGATTTATTTCTCTGATCAGTCAGCACTATTGGACCCCCAACACACATTTTATCTCTTGTTTTCTCCTCATTTTTAATCCTTTATTCCTCTCCCTCTCCTTTTTTCCCACCCCTCCCTTACTTTATTTTTCTTTTTTTTTTCTCTCTCTCTCTTTTTTAGTGTCATATTGCAGTCCGAAGATGTTGTTGGCTTGCAGTGAGCTGAAAGTGTTGCGCCTCTGAACCGCTACTTCCTGCTGCAGTACCATTTACAGCAGCTCATTTTTCAGCTCATTCATCACAGTAACATGATGAACACAGCCACACCACACAGACAATGGAACTGGGTATGTAGACAGGAAAACGACAATTAAATGAGACAATGAAAAACGAGAAGATCAGGAAGGGTATGCAAGTGAGGGATGTAGACAGTCAAACAGTCCAAAGGGTCAGTGTTCGGCTAGTTAGCCTCAGTCCCTGCTGTTACTGTTGGATGTCAAACAATCACCATCTGGCTGTTTAGAGTATCTTAAAATTAATGCTTAGGATTACATTAATTAAAAAAAAAAGTGTGTAGGGGAGAGTGGGGCACAATGTAACACTAATTGATTTTGGCCAAATATTTAACAATAATGGGGTTAGACAAACTATATTGTTTTACCAGTAACACACAAGCCTCTCCTACAAATGATCACTGGTTGTATGATTGCTGAACCTATGATTGCTGTGCAGTATTGCCAAAAGTGCCAGCAGTAAAAACTGTACTATTTACCCCAACTGTGGGGTAAGTTGTAACAGACAGAGGGTTACTTGTAACACATGCTTAAAAAGGCAGATTTCACACAATTAATTTAAATCCCGTTTACTTTAGCTATCCTTCCTCAGTAATTAAATCATTTCTTTATTCTACATAGCATGGCATGTTTATTTATTCATCTATTGGATAAACACATTTGGACATTTTTATCCATTATTATACAATGGATTTTTTTTTTTGAAGTATTAACAATAAACTTAATTTTTTCTATTAAAAATATGTTCTATTAAAAAACTTTTTTTATATAAAAAGTTCCTGACATTACACTCAGTATACAAAAATTATTTGGTTAGTTTAGTTGGTGTCCAACAGTGTGTGACTTATTTGTAACATCCTGTAACAACTAACCCTTTCCTCAAAACTGGCTAACAGTCACCATCTTTCAAAATGGTTACATCATTTAGCCTAGAAGACGCTAATAATAAAAATATAAGAGTTTACTAACAAACTTACATTTTTTTTTATAAAAAAATGTCAACTATAATAAAAAAAAAAATGCTTTTATGCTGCATAAATGGTTTTTCCTGTGTTTTTCATACAAATTTCGCTGAACTTTTTCAATAATTGTTAGGAAGATGTCTCCCGACACTGTGGTGAAAACCTTGCATGCATGCCATAGTTAACCCTGAGTACATTACCTTGCATTCCCCTATATATTAAGAAGGCTAGAATAAAAGCAGTTTTACATTTATTATTATTTTTTTTAATTTCAAGGTCAAAATTATTAATCCCTTTTTATACATAACAAACCATCATTATACAATAACTTGCCTAACTACCCTAACCTGCCTAGTTATATTAGGCTTAGCGACCCTAATTAAACTAGTTAAGCCTTTAAATGACACTTTAAGTAGTATAGAAGTGCAGTAAAATATTATTTACTTTCATAATGGCAAAGACAAAATAAATCGGTTATTAGAAATGAGTTATTAAAACTATTATGATTAGAAATGTGTTGAAACAAATCGTCTCTCCATTAAACAGAAATTGGGGAAAAAATAAACAGGGAGGCTAATAATTTAGGGGGTTTAATAATTCTGACTTCAAATTGCTAACATATACTTTGCTGCATGTCAAGCTGAAACACTGCCCATATTGCTCAACATCGGTTTGATTTCAGTAATTGCACATGGGATTTTTTAAAACTAGTCTTTCCGGTTTTGCTTGGTCTCAAGCTTAAACAAGCATAAACTTAAAAGATATCCTAGTGCAAAAATGTATGTGAATAAACTACTATATACCAAACTACTATATAACGATGGTAAACTGAAACAGCTCCCGCATTCCTCAGCCAGCTTAATTGTGTTCAGTGTACATATAATAAAAAAAATAAATTAATAAGTATGTAAATAAACAAATACATGTTAAGCTGAAACTAAGTTTCATTAGCCAGGGTTTAATTCTGGCAATTGTTGTTGTTGTGTTTGCTTTAGAGAATCTCTTGTAAAAAAAGTACAAGTACAAATATTAACAAAAATATTGTTTCCAATTAGATTTTTAAGATTTTGATTCTAGCCAATGTATAAGTGATTTTGTAAAAAATATTTTAAAAGATTGTTTCATAAGTAAAAACAAAAAACAAAAAAAAGTATCTAAGCATATAAATAAACATACCAAATCTAAAAATGATCTTACCAAATCTATATTTAATAATTACTCATCCTCATTAAGCCATATTCCTCAGCACGTGACTACATTCAATGCACATGTGTTTTTAAATTGTACTTTAGAGATTTATGCTTAAGTGAAAATAAGCATGTGGGTATGTAAATAAACCAAACAAATCTAAATTATTAACAAGTACACAGCTACATGTTAAAGATGCATGTGGATGATCTTAATCTATAGCAAAGCTAAGAGTGAATGTTAAAATCTCACCACATTGGCCAGGGGGAGACACTCCAGAAGATGCTCGTGGAAGACTCATCAGCAATGTTTGCACGGCAGCACTATTCCCAGAACATGGCTCCACGGCTATGGGACCAGCCTGAGAGAAAAGAAGAGCAAATAACTCACTGTGAGAGAGGGGGTTCTTGCTATACACGACACTAACACAAGTGTGTGAATAATGCAAACATTTCTTAGCAACACAATTTTTCTTAATGATGATAAAAATGAAAATAAAAAAAGTATCAGACATAAAAAGTGTTCATCAGCACAGAATCTATGATGTTCAAGACAAGCCCTACAGGTATCCATGGCAGACAAAAAAGAACATTTGGGGAATTGTTGAAAAGTTGAACAGTGAAAGTTGTTAAAAATTCAGCTTTGCCATTACAAAAATAAATAATAATAAAAATAAATAATAATAATAATAAATAAAACAAATAAAGCCATTTTGATTTACAAACTGTAAACATATTTCATAATATTGATCAAAGAAAATCAGCCTTAGTAAGATGCTTCTTTTGAAAGCATAAGATCTTTTGAATTGCAGTGTTTTATATGTACTGTAGATGACAACATTCAAAGTAAAATAGGAAACTGATGATAATACAAGATGTATTTGAAACTTTTTTCTACTTCCACTTTTGAAAACTTTCATTAAATACAAAATATAAGGCCATTCATACATCAGTCAAGTCTTTTGAGCATTTTTATTTTAAAATGGTAGATGTGTCTCATTCAAGAAGCAGTTTTCGCTTAACAGCTTTCTGTTTAAAAAGGTGAAAGAGATTTATAAAAGTGCCTTATGCTTTTTGCCATTTCACACTCTTTTAGTACAGACACCTGAAAGAACAGGCTATGACCTGTACTTCACAAGAACAAAATGTCACTGAATTAAACTGCCATCAGTAATAGTCTAAAGGAAACGTTGATGACCAAAATGTGATCTGAAATGAATGTAGTGCCACTTTGCTGCTCCCTCCACTTACTTAAATTGTCTTACAACTCATGCAACCAACCAAACACAGTTTAGAATGCATAAGGTAAGGTAGCTTGATATGCTATAACCATTCATTTATTAAATATGACTACTAAATATTTATAACAAGACATCGTATGTAAATTGCCCATTGGAATAACTCAGAATAAGCATCTTTGCATCACTGCCTAATTCATGAGACATATGGATAATCGATTTGTTACACTAGGAGTACAACAGATTGAGAAGTACCTCATTTTTGTTATCATGCCCATGAGTCTCATTTATAAAACTTTACATAGATATCTTCCTAAAGATGAATGTATGTCAGAATACTGTACATTTAATTATTAAATGTAATATTTAACTTAAAGTGGTTCAATTAAGTAAACATTTAAGTTAGACATGTTCACTTAGAGTTTACATACAGCATTTAATTTTATAGATCACAACTTTTGCAAGGGAAGCGGTATTTTGAATCAGACCCCAGGACTGCTAGATGGTGATAATATGATAGTCACTCATATATGGAGCACTTGTGAGTCCTCTCTGCTGAGTCTTAATGCCGGAGGAACTCTAACTAGAATTCACTGGCTGGGAAACTCACTGGGAAAACAGGAATATGCTCTCATCTCCGCCTGGAGGGCAATGGAAATTCAAGCAAGGCACAGAGCCAGATTTTTTTTTTTCTAGGAAATAACCTGTTCATACCAAGCATTCAGGATGAGTCTGGCTAAAGTTGGAGACTGTAAAATAATATTGTGAAGTAGTTGCTCAACCTGCAATTCTACAAATGTCTTATAGAAAGGTGCTGTGTGCCAAAGCCCAACAGGAGACAGCAATCAGAGTGGATTGAGACCTCAGTATCATGAAGAACAGCTCATCTTGTGTCTTATAAACCAATGTGATAGCATCTACTTTAGAGCACACCTACAGTAATTCATTTCTTTTGACCTTCAATGTAAAGACAGAGCTGCTCGGATTCTTTAAAGAGCATCTAAAGCTCTGAGTATTGCCTATGAAAGTGTGCAGGATATGGACAAGTCACCTTTAGTCATTTAGTAGATGCATTTATTCAATGTGACTTACAGTGTGGAAGGGATCAAGCGATTCATTGTGCTAATAATAATTAAAAATTAATAAAAAATTATGTCAAAATAAAATAAAAATTATGTTCGAAAAATACAAGCTGGAGTAGGTAAGGAGTACATTAAAAAAAAAAAAAAAAAACTTTTCATTTAGATGCATTTTGAACAGGGCTACACATTCAGCAGTCTGTATGGAATTGTAGAGATTGTTTCACCAGCAAGGAACAGTAAACTAAAAGGTTCTGGAAAGTGATTTAGAGCCTCTTTGAGATGGTACTACTGCACAAGGCAGTGCTCACTTTCTGTCTGAAGGCTTAGGGAGGGGATGCTGCTTTATAAAAATAAGTGAAAGCAAGAGGATGTAGAGCCCATTCTGTATGCACAACAACACTAAACCTAAGATTGCCTCTTTGGGGACAGTGCTTTTGCAAGTTCACCATCTTATCCTGAAAGGGAGTGGTAGAAACTTTGAGCACATACTTAGGCCAGGGTCTCAAGATCATGCATTTAGGTAGTTGCTCAAGTTAAATTCTGGGCACATATCACATACCAAAAATTGGCTGCCAGTTCAGACGATCTGTGATCATGGTCAGAAAACATGACCTTAAGCTAGACTAAACTAAAAAAGGGGCTCCTGCAGTCCCACCAAGACAATAGAAAGACACAATAAGGGGATAAGAGACAGCTGATAGGTGGAAAGGAGCAGCCTCCGATCCAACATTTCTAGAAATGGAAACCATGACACCGATGCCCTATTACCAAAAGTGTTCTCTGTGAGAAAGCCACCACTAAGCAAACTATTTAGGCAGAGGGAGATGTATGTTGGAGTGGAGGCTGTTCCCCTCCATTGTAAAAATGTACTGAATATTGCTGCATACCATGATGCAGTGGATGGAAGATCCCTGGAAATGCATGACCTGATCATCATTTTGAAGATGGTAAGAGGCACTAAACTGCTAAAGCTAATAGCAAGTATGGGCGTCTTTTTAAAGGTCCCTTTGAAATGGCATGAGGCAAAACTCTGGTAACACTTTAGAATAACTATCCGTTATAACTAGTTAATAGACCATTAATAAACTGTTAGTTAACAAATTTTAAATGACTTGTTAAATAAAAGTTAATAGTTTGTTAATTATTTACAACTGTGCCTTATAGATGGGCAATGGATAACTTACAAGCCGTTAGTTGACAAGTTGTAAATGACTTCTTAACTGTATTTTAATGATTTATAACTATACCTCATACATTATTAAAAGATCATGAACAAGCTGTTAGTAAATTACTTAATAAAGACTTGTTAAGTATCAGTTATGGTGTGTATATGTTATTGGGACGTTATTCTAAAGTTGCAGCTATTCTTCATTTATTAATTTTTAGTAAATGAGGAATAGTTGCAACTTTAGAATAACGTCCCAATAACATGCTTAAGCTAATAACTAACACTTAACTATCATATTTACTCACACTTTACAGACGAGAGTTGTTCATCGTTTGTTAACCATCTACTAATACCAGTGAATCTTTGTAGAACTGCAAATGGATGGAGTAAGTTCAAGCTGCAGAAATTTGATGTAATATTTAAAATATAAAATGTTTGTTTCTAAACCTTGTTCCACTTATAGGCTTTTCTGTGTGCTGTGTTTTACCAAAGAAACTCCACAGATGAAATGTTAAAAGTTGTCTTTAATGTATAGAAACACACATACTGAACCATGACATGGCAGTACAGCAGTATGCAAGAATACAAACCCATGAAGTGCTAAACATGAAAACAAAATAAATAAAAATTTAAAATTACACCAGTGGTCTAATAAAAAAGTTTCACTGGTGTTATTAGATGGTGAATAAAGTGTAAATATAATAGTTAAGTGATAGTTATTAGCTCAAGCATGTTATTGGGACATTATTCTAGTTTCAACTATTCCTCATTTACTAACAGTTAATAAATGAAGAATAGCTGCAACTTTAGAATAACGTCCCAATAACATATATACAATATTAACTGATACTTAACAAGTCTTTATTAAGTTATTTACTAACAGCTTGTTCATGATTTATTACTAATTGATTAGGTATAGTTATAAATCATTAAAATACAGTTAAGAAGTCATTTACAACTTGTTAACTAACGGCTTGTAAGTTATCTATTAGCCATCTATAAGGGACAGTTATAAATAATTAACAAACTATTAACTTTTGTTTAACAAGTAATTTATATAATTTATATATTTATTAATGGTCTACTAACTAGTTATAATGGATAGTTATTCTAAAGTGTTACCAAAACTCTTTAGGCCTGTTTGCAGGCCTGGCTGGACTGCACAGAGTCCCCTTCAAGCCACTGATTCCATCTCTGTGTTGCTTGGTGTTGAGCAGTTTTCAGGCATGATGTATCATGCTGATTCCAAACATTTACGGTTTCCCTTAGAAACATTACCACACACCTTTCATTAAGATCAATCCGTTTTCTTTCATATAATATTCACTCTTGTCACTGATGATGAATATTATTTTACAGTGCAATTTCCTTTGATTCGTACTCTGGATCATTTAAGAACTTAAAATATCTCTTTTTTGACAAAAGATCTAATTCATTTCTGTTTGAGCCCACAACAAAACCATGTCAGAATTCCATCACCTATTTAGGCGACATAAATTCAATAGTTAAATAAAGGCTTATGATTGATGGAGTGTAAATGAGGGCAGTACAATCCCTAAACTACACAGAAAATCACCAGCAGGTGGTGAAAGTGGATTTCTCCTTCATTTGCATTTTAAGGGCTGTTTATAGCGTATAAACACAATGAGCAGAGCTTTAAAAATTTATAGATACAGTTGGCCCACTGTTGGGTGTTTTGTTTTTAATAGAAGCTTCATTACACATTAAACGTGAATGACAAGAACCTAAACATCAGACAGAATTCTATTATCTTATGTCTGTTTTGTAATTTCCCTTTACAGGTGCAAATTAATATAGTTAATTCCATCTTATGACATATATGTTAGCTAAAGGGCTTTCTCAACTATTTTTCA